TTTTATTGTTGATCACCTATATTAGTAACAGTAATGGAGCTGGAAGGGACTTTGGAGGTCATCTAGTCCAACCCTCACAGGAGATCTATACTATTTCTGATAGATGGGTGTCCAGGCTCTTCTTAAAAGCCTCCAGTGTTGGGGGCACCCACAATTTCCAAAAGCAACTTGTTCCACTGGTTAATTATTACAAGAATGTTACCAGATATAACATTAAGCTGATTAATTGATAAGCCATTTGGGAAAGCAAAGGGAAATCATCAAAGCCATTAAAAAGTGAAAGTTAGAATATTTTGGACATGTGATGCAACACCCAGAAAAATATTAAGGATTCACTTAATCCTCCAGGGAAAGATTGAAGGTAAACGAAGTCCAGGCAGAAGAAGAACATCATAGCTTCAAAACCTAAGGGACTGATTTGGACAAAACTCAGCAGCACTTTTTCATGCGGCTGTCGACAAAAATAGGATTTCCAACATGATTGCCAACATCCGATGATGGATATGGTAGAAGAAGAAGAAGAAGAAGAAGAAGAAGAAGAAGAAGAAGAAGAAGAAGAAGAAGAAGAGGAAGAGGAAGAGGAAGAGGAAGAGGAAGAAGGAAGAAGAAGAAGAAGAAGAAGAAGAGAAGGAAGAAGAAGAAGAAGAAGAAGAAGAAGAAGAAGAAGAAGAAGAAGAAGTTGTTACCAGATATTTTTATATTACATGAATGTTGCCAGACTGTTCTGTGTTCTAAATTGGAGCACAACTCATCAAAGAACAGTATTTTGGACAAAATTGTTCTAAAGGCAGGTTCTCTTCAGGATCCTGCTAACAATGTGCTAAACCAGTGTTTCTCATTATTTATTTTGCGCTATGTTTAACTACCTGCGTGAATGTTTTTATTCTAGTTGTGAATTCAGAATTTCAAGAGATATTAAAATGTTGGTCTGCAGCCATTCAAGATATGTTTTGAATTGATACCAACCAGCAGCTCTCTAAAATGCAGGGCAGTGAGACTCAATTTAGCTTTTACATTGATTTATATAAGGTAACAGAAAGTGCCAGCTGTGGGACAGGTTTCAACCAGCTGAAAACCACGAGTAATATTTTTTTTTTAAAAAAAGATAGAAAACATTATTCCCAGGCAAGACTTCATGGAAATTACAGATCAGGAATGGAGTATCTACACGGAGCATAGAAAGTTATAAAGGCAGTTCTTGTGTTACAAGGTAGAAGTGGGGAATGGAGGAGGAGGAGGAGGAGGAGGAGGAGGAGGAGGAGGAGGAGGAGGAGGAGGAGGAGGAGGAGAAAAAGGAGGAGAAAAAGGAGGAGAAAAAGGAGGAGAAAAAGGAGGAGAAAAAGGAGGAGAAAAAGGAGGAGCAGCAGCAGCCCAGATCTCCCCATCCCATGCTTCTAGAGAAATATATTTTCAGCCCAATTCTAGACATATCTACATAGCACTTCCAAGACTGAGTGGCTGTGGCTCCTGGCATCCCGATATAGTCAGTTGACTCCATCACTCCATCACTATTGGGGGCGAGTCTTTGGCCCCCACAGAAAGGGCTCGCAATCTGGGAGTCCTCCTGGATATGCAGCTGTCTTTAGAGGAACATCTGACGGTGGTAGCCAGAGGGACCTTTTGTCAGGTTCGCCTGATCCACCAGTTGTGGCCCTTTCTTGATCGGGATTCCCTGTGCACAGTCACTCATGCCCTCGTCACCTCTCGCCTTGACTACTGCAACGCTCTCTACATGGGGCTCCCCTTGAAGAGCACCCGGAGGCTCCAACTGGTCCAGAATGCAGCAGGGCGGGTAGTGACGGGAGCATCATGGCGCTCCCATGTAACACCGCTCCTGCGCGAGCTGCACTGGCTACCAGTGGTCTTCCGGGTGCCCTTCAAGGTGCTGGTTATCACCTTTAAAGCGCTCCATGGCATCGGGCCTAGCTATCTTCGAGACCGCCTGCTTCTACCAATGACCTCCCATCATCCCGTGCGCTCCCACAGAGAGGGCCTCCTCGGGGTGCCATCAGCCAATCAACGTAGGCTGGTGACCCCCAGGGGGAGGGCCTTCTCTGTGGGGGCACCTACCCTCTGGAATCAGTTGCCCCCAGAGATAAGGAGAATCCAAGACCTCAGTGCCTTCCGCCGTGCCCTTAAAACCCACTTTTTCCAGCAAGCCGGGCTGGCTTAAGAAGAAATTTTAAATGTTTTAATTGGTTTGTATTTTTAATTTTGGGCCAAATTTATATATATTTTAATTGTTTTTTAATATTTGTATTTTATGTTTTTTAATTCTGGCTGTACACCACCCTGAGTCCTCAGGGAGAAGGGTGGTATATAAATTTTAAATAAATAAATAAATAAATAAATAAATAAATAAATAAATAAATAAATAGCAATAGCACTTAGACTTACAGTATATACCACTTCACAGTGCTTTACAGCCCTCTCTAAGCAATTTGCAGAATTGGCATATTGCCCCCAGCAATCTGTGTCCTCATTTTACCCACCTCGGAAGGATAGAAGACTGAGTCAACCTTGAGCCTGGTGAGATTCGATCTGCCGAACTGCTGGCAGCCAATAATCAGCAAAAGTAGCCTGCAGTACTTCACTCTAACCACTGTGCCACCGTGACATGGAAAGCAATCCCATGGAGTTCAATGTAGTATCTTTCACAGAACTCTACTTTCATTCTAGAAGCAACTACTGAGCCAATATTATTATTTTTTTTTTTAAAAAGAATCTTAGAGGGGAAATTCACTTGAAAATTATAATTAAAGAAAACTAACTTGAAACCAAAAGGAACCTATGTTTGCAGTGATTCTGAGAGAGATTGGCAGTTCAAAAATGTGAAAAATAAGTAAATACATTTTTTTAAAAAATCCTCTGTCTCCCCTCTCCATTTATTTGCCCATCAACAATTATCTAGATTGCATTTTTTGTTGCTTCTGATTTTGTTGTGTGGCTTCTCTCTTTGGTGTGCTTTTAGCAGAATAACAGGGATGGAAGGGACCTTGGAGGTCTTCTAGTCCAACCCCCTGCTCAAGCAGGAAATCCTATACCAGTCCAGACAAATGGCTGTGCAATTCCTTCTTGAAAACCTCCAGTGTTGGAGCACCCAACTTCGAGAGGCAAGCAATTACGTTGCTTGTCTTCACTGTCAAGAAATTTGTTCTTAGTTCTAGGTTGGTTCTCTCCTTGATTAGTTTCCACCCATTGCTTCTCTTCCTGCCTTCAGGTGGTTTGGAAAATAGCTCATACATTTTATAATATGAGTCTCTTTTAGGCTAAATTTTCCTCCTAGTGACTGCATAGCAATATCTATGCACCTTTCCAGGAAATAATAGAAAAGTGGTTGGCCATTGTTTCCTTCTATTTTTAAACCTCCCGTTCTTTCTTCCAGATTTCCAGATGGTTCTTCATCCCGTTTCATCCCAACCTAGCCCAAGGCTGCAGACCTTTTCAAGATCAGCCAAGACCCATCCACCAGGGATGTCCATTTATGATGGAGAACTTGTTAATAATGCATGGTATCACAAGGACAGATTTCAAAAGTAAAAATGCGAGAAAAAAAAGTGGGTGTGAAGTAAGTGTCAGAGAGAAAAAGAGGGAGGAAGAGGTATCAGGTAGGTCCAAAAAGCCACAATCTGTTTAGAAGCTACATCTAACAAGCTACAATCTGTTTAGAATGGAGCTCTGACAAGCTATAATCTGTTTACGCCTATTCCAGTCAGTCTGGGAATCCGTGTTCAAGGTTCCCCCTAGCGAGCACTCCAGATATCTGGCAAATCACACTAAAGAAGCATTTCCAGGGGAAAAAGAAATGCGTCTGGGACATTCCCTACCTCCCACTTCACTTCCTACATCTGTGAACAACCCCCTCTCCCCCTCCCCTCCCCTTCCCCCCCTCTCTTTTTCTCCTCTTTCTCTTCTCTCTCTCTTTAAACAAGTCTCTCTTTTTCTCTCTTCCTGTCATATCTCTTTCTTTCTCACTCTCCTCCTTTATTTCTCTCTCTGTCTCCCTCCCTCCTTCTCTCTCCTCTCTTTCTTTCCTCTCTCCTCTCCCTTGTCTTTTTCTCTCTGTGTCATATCTCTCTCTTTCTCACTCTCTCCCTTTTTTCTCTCTCTTTCCCTTCCTCCCTTCCTCCTTCCCTCTCTCTCTCCTCTCTCTTTCCCTCTCCCCGTCATATCTCTCCCTTTCTCTTTCTCTCTCTCTTTCTCTTCCTCCCTCCCCCTCTTTCTCCTCTCTCTTTCTCTCCTCTCTCCCCCTCTCCCCCTCCGTCATATCTCTCTTTCTCCCTCTCTCCCTCTCCCTCTCCCTCCCTCTCCCTCTCTTCCTCCTTCCCTCTCTCCTCTCTCTTTCTCTTCCCCCTCTCTCTCCCTCTCCCCATATCTCTCCCTTTCTCTTTCTCTCTCTCTTTCTCTTCCTCCCTCCCTCCCTCTTTCTCTCCTCTCTCCCCCTCTCCCACTCCCTCTGTCATATCTCTCTCTTTCTCCCTCTCTCCCTCTCCCTCGCTCTCCCTCTCTTCCTCCTTCCCTCTCTCCTCTCTCTTTCTCTTCCCCCTCTCTCTCCCTCTCCCCCTCCCCTCTCTCTGTCATATCTCTCTCTTTCTCAGTCTCTCCCTCTCCCTCTCTTCCTCCTTCCCTGTCTCTCCTCTCTCTTTCTCTCCCCCCTCCCTCCCTCCCCCCTCTCTCTTTCTCCCTCTCTCCTCAGCCCCGTCTTCCAGGTTTAAGACTGCCAGACTGGTGGTAGCAAAAAAAACAAAACAAAACAAAACAAAAAAACAAAAACCCGCGAGGCAGGGTTGGCCCTAGAAATTAGCATTGCTATCTACGCCCGGCTGAGAATGTGAGCTAATCTCCTGCAGCAGAGCCGTTAAAATAATTGATGAATGTGGGCTGGTGTGTCTCAGGAGTGGAGGAGTGCGTGGGGGGGGGGGGGGGGGGGGGGAGGGAGGGGGGGGGGGGGAGGTACTGATTTCACTCCGGTAGCGTCAGAATTGCGTCAATTTGGGTTTCAACCACGTCTTCGGGCTCCGAGCTCGGTGAGTCAGAAGACCCGAACCAGCGGACAAGGGCTCACGAATCGCTGTGACGGAGGGGAGCACCCGATCAGGCCTGCCCTCCCTTCAGTCTCTCTCTCTTTCTCTCTCTCCCCCTCCCACCCGCGTTTCCTCTCTCTCTCTACCTCCTCCTCCTCCTCCTCCTCCTCTTTCCCAAACCTTCCCGGATCTTTCGGGCTGGTGTCGGCATCGCGTCGGGAAAGAAGTCTCCCCTGTTTTGGTTGGTGGGCTTGCGCGCGTCTTTCCTTTTGCGCCGGGATCCGCCGGAGGGAAAGAGAAGGGAAAAAGAAACCTTCAGCACCTTGGACAGCGCTTCAGCACCTTGGACAGCGCACGCGAGCAAACAACATGGCTCCGATTACAGCCAGCAGAGAAGAATTTGGTAAGAAAGATCTTTTTTTAAAATATATATATATATATATATTTTTAAAGAGAGAAATGACAAAAATGCGAATCCAGGTGGGTTTCATTCCTGCCCCCCCACTCCCCACTTCTCAAGCAAAGTAGATGACTCTGCCATTTTGGGCTCCTTGGGGACTTTCGACCCTTGGAAGCGTCAGGCGTGTTTCCACTTTGAGCTTGGAAGATGGCTTGTCTTCGCCTCCCTTTCCAAGCATCTATGGGAAGATGGGTGGATTGGGCAAAAGTTTGCGCTTCCTCCTCCTCCTTCTTCTCTTCTGCTGCTTTTAGACTGTTCAGATTATTCCTTCTTCATCCTAATGTCTTCCTTCTCCCGATGTTGCGAACAGAATATAAGGACCGGGGAGGAAGGTAAGGGGGGTTTGAGGACAGAGAAAAGATGGATTTGCCTCGATCTTTGTTAGAAGGAAGCCGTGATCGAGACGAGGATGAGTCATTTCAAACCTCTCCTCTACATGCTCTCGGAAAAATGGTCATAATCGCTTCTGTTCGTACAAGGGTAGCTACCAGACACTTAAAAAAAGATTAGTCATCCATCTCAACATTCATATCGCTGTGCCTTTCTACCTCTCCTCTAAGCAGATGTCTGTTTGCCTCTTGTCATAAGTGTTGTTTCTTGGATAATAATGCCCGTAAAGTGTTATCTCATGCTTTTAACTCAGTGCAAGATTTCAGAAAGAAACTTAAAGTGGCTGCTTTGGCTCTGAAAACCTGAAAATCAGAACAAAATCATTGGTATTTCTCCTCTGCTGTAATGCTGAATAAATAACCTTTTTTTTTTTTTTGACCAAGAGAAAAATGCATACCTACATAGGTTTCTTTTTTCAGATATTTAAGTGTGGGGTAGATGAGTGAGTGAACATTGTCTCATTGATTGTCTTTGCCATGCAATGCTCTCGGGGTACCACCTATAACACATAGTATTGTGTTATAAACTCCTGATGGCCTCATTTTAAACTCCTGATGGCTTCTTCTGGGACAATGGGATCATTCCTAAGCAACATATGTTATTGCTTCCATCCCTGGGTCAAGTTGTTCTTTTGGCTTCCCATGAAAATAAATCAGTTCAATGTTGACTTCAGTTTGCATGCAGAGAATGTGGAAGGGGGTCTTTTCATATCGACACTCTTGAAATCTGCCTTGCTCTTTTTTCCCGATAGCTCGTAGAGTCTCAAGTCAGCATCTCGTTCTCACACAGATGTTAGAATACCTAGGTGATCCTAGGAAAACAGCATCACAGCAGATGGTGTTCCCACTGGCGGTTAGGAGAGAGCACGATGAGTTGGGATTTCTTCTTGGTCCATCCCCTCATAGGTGCTTCTAATTTCATTTGCGACAGCTTGCTCACCTCGTAATTGACTTTGGGAAGATAATTAATACCTGTAACTTTCTCCCAGGAACAATCCGCTGGGTGCGGGCTTCTAAACAGTACTTGCAAACACATTGGTTGACAATTAAAACCTGTTCAAGGGAGGTAATACCCACCTGAACTTCCTTGTAAGCATCTTATGGAAATGCCATTCCCTCACTGCTGATAAGTTGTCCCTCAACTGGAAGAGATGTTAAAAAGGGGGCGTGTGAAGGGAGTTAGTGACATAGGAAGAGGCTACAATGTAACTGACCCAGCGTCTTATCCCAAAGCAACATTTCCTGCAGACTAACGTACAACCATGAGTTGTCTTCTCATTGATCAACCCTAATCAAAAATGGGAAAGTCCTCTCCTCAAAAGACCAGAAAACCCTCATGCCAGAAGGGGATGCTTCCTAAAAATGACAATGGTCCATGCTCAACCCTTTTAATGCTTGCTTAGTAGGTCCATTCATTGTCTCATAATTTTAACAGAGGGGTGAGTCTGTTACTCTTCCCCCACTCAAAAGCGGAGTCCTTCTCTCCAATAAGAATCGTCAAGGACAGCATCCACTTCTCCTTTCCAGAAAATCCCCTGGCCAGAAAGAATACAGCACACATTTTCTTGCATACCTGTCCCCACGCATGAAAGACGCACTTCTTTTCTGCATCAATATTTCATGCATTCCCATTTTGCTAGGAGAAGGTAGACTTTCATTCGGATTGCTGTTGCCAGTGCCTGGCACTTAAACTTGCTCGGAAATGTTACTTATGGGCAGAATTGGATTTCCAATTAGTGGCATTCATTTGGCCCTGTGCTGCTTACTCATGAAATGCTAATGATCTCCTCGGTGTCCCACTTTTATCCGTACTCCAGATGTCATTGCAGCTTCCATGCTGTTTTCCCTATTGCTGTCTAGAATGTGGGCTTCTTTTCTCTGAGTAATGGAGAAGGGGAAAAAAAATCATAGTTGCTGTGCTTGTAGAAATAGAGACTAAATCCTTGTTCTTTAGGCACCTACGTTGCCGGAGACTTCTGAAAAGTCTCATCGGTTTCTCCTGCAATTAGAAAAGAAAATATAAACCATGCATATAAAAGATAATGAAATAACGGGGGAAAAATAATTATATATTATCTATATTAACACTCAGCTTCATATCAGTATGCCAGACTGGTGGAAAAGCTCATAAAAGTTAACATTTTCGTGCTGTATTATAATCTCTTCTATAAAAGGTTTGTATAAAGATGAAGCTCCTTGAACATAAGGGACAAAGCAAAGACTGGTGTCAAAGTGAACATTATAGGAATAATATATTTCAAATCTTTTTGGCCAGATGACAAGGCAAATGTGAAGGATGTTAGAGGGAATCAAACGTCTTTGTACACTTAGTGAATCCGTAACTTCATCTAGGAAACCCACAAAATTTAATTGCTCCAGGCTGTTTGTTACAATCATGATTGTTAAACTCTATTTCTTTCCATCATGCATGCATCTGGAGAAAAATCTCCAGATGGAATTTTTTTTTCATAGATACCTGCAGGGGGCACAAAATGAATATGCTTTCTCTTAGTATATTGTACAGTCGAATTGCTTCACTCTATCATTTTGCCGGGTTCTTGCTAAGTTAACTATCACTTGTGAGCTCTGAAGTCCACCGTTCATATGTTTGTTGACATTTGCTTTGATTTGCAGATGAAATCCCAACCGTGGTTGGGATCTTCAGCGCCTTTGGGCTGGTCTTCACTGTCTCGCTCTTTGCTTGGATCTGCTGCCAACGCAAATCTTCAAAAGCCAACAAGACTCCTCCTTATAAATTTGTCCATGTGCTGAAGGGGGTTGATATTTATCCGGAGAACCTCAACAGCAAGAAGAAGTTTGGCGCAGAGGACAAAGGGGAAGCCAAAAACAAGCCTATCATGACAAAGACGTCTCTGCATCTTGACCTGGAGAAACAAGATCTGAATGGCAACTTCCCAAAAACGATCCCTAAAGTACCAACTTCTTCAGATGTTGAGGGCTTTACTCCAAAACTCTTTCCTGAGAGGGAAAAAGATTCGGTATCTCCTGACAGCTTGAAGTCTACCACCTCAATATCTTCTGAAGAAAAGCAAGATAAATTAGGGACTCTCTTCTTCTCCCTAGAGTACAACTTCGAAAAGAAAGCTTTCATGGTGAACATCAAAGAAGCAAGGGCCTTACCAGCCATGGATGAACAATCCATGACTTCTGATCCATACATCAAAATGACAATACTGCCAGAGAAGAAGCACAAGGTGAAAACTCGAGTGCTGAGGAAAACCTTAGATCCAGCTTTTGATGAAACTTTCACCTTTTATGGAATCCCTTATACTCAAATTCAAGATCTGAGTCTCCATTTTATGATTCTGAGTTTTGACCGGTTCTCCCGCGATGATGTCATCGGAGAAGTCCTGTTTCCCTTATCAGGAATCGAGTTGTCTGAAGGAAGGATGCTGATGAACAAGGAAATCATCAAGAAAAATGTTAGGGTAATTTATCTTACTTATTCTTTCTTTTCCTCTGCCCCTCCTTAAGAAGTATTTTGAAGAGGTGAGTTGTACAAATAGTAGTATCATATTGACATTTTGAAGAAATGAATGAACTAAACATTCTAAACAGGTTAAAAGTATTTGTAAATCAATATTCTGTCTATGGAGATTCTCTATCAACCAGGTTAAGATAGCCCTAAGTGGCTAAGATGCTGAGCTTGTCGATTGAAAGGTCGGCAGTTCAGCGGTTCGAATCCCTAATGCCACGTAACAGGGTGAGCTCCTGTTACTTGTCCCAGCTTCTGCTAACCTAGCAGTTCGAAAGCACGTAAAAAATGCAAGTAGAAAAATAGGGACCACCTTTGGTGGGAAGGTAACAGCATTCCGTGAGCCTTTGGCATTTAGTCATGATGGCCACATGACCACGGAGACGTCTTCGGACAGCGCTGGCTCTTCGCCTTTGAAATAGAGATGAGCACCACCCCCTAGAGTCAGGAACGACTAGCACATATGTGCGAGGGGAAACTTTACCTTTTTAAAGGTGCTTTACCAAAAGACAACTGGACTTTTTCGGGGTTTTTTTTTTTTTTTTCATTGAAAATGTTTCAAGGAAAATGTCCAGTTTTGCAGATGAGAAGTGAAACGTTTTCAAGGGCAAAAAACAAAAAAACAAGACTGTCCAATTTTGGAAAAGCACTTTTGGAGTAAACCAATATTCTCTTTTCACTTATATCAGGCCAGGCAAGAAAGGAAACGATTTATAATACAATAACTCTTGACTGAATCTAAGTCTCACTTTCCCGATTCCTGCTTAGAATTGAGCGCACGTGTTTGGGCATTTAAGATAACAAACCCACTTTCAGAGTTGTGTACAACATAGTGGGATAAGCCATGTCTTCGAATATTACAAGGTGTTTTAAATAAGCCAGACCACAGGTCGATGTCGATGGCAGCAGCTCTCCAAGGGATTGCAGGGATCCAACCTGTAGTTAATGATTCATCCTACCTGTAGTTAAAACTTGGTTTGATGACCCTCTGTGCTGACTAACAGGAATAGACCCTGCAACGAGCCAAATTCAGTATAGGAACTTGCATCAGCACAAAAGAAAAAAAACCCCACAGGACATATTTTGTGTTATCAGCATCAAGGCATCGAACTCAACTCATCACAATAGAGCAGCTCTCTTATGCTCTGATTGATTAGAGTACGGGGGCCATAATGCTGAACTGTTTAATAGCGCTAAGAGTGGGCTCACAGATTTGGCAGGATCAGCAATAATTCGGACATAACTCACGCTGGTGACAGGATAAAGGAAATAATCTACCGGCTGAGTTTTACGAGCCTCCTTTGTAAGACAAACTCATTTCACAGGCGGCGAACTGGGAGAAACCTTGGTTCCTTCTCAAGCATAGTGTAGCAATCAAAGCCCAAAGACATAAGTCAATAGTTTACGAGCCTTGACAGGAACAAGAAATTAGACAACAATCCGCAGGACAGCTGTGGACTGTTGATTAAACTCTATCAAGAGGTAATCAGATCAACTGCTTTCTTCCACTGACACAGTGGAATGTTCATATTTTATTTGTGATTAAAAATATTGGAAGGAAAAAAAAAACCCTAATTATAGACACGGTCCAGGGAAGTGGGCTAGGTCAGTGATGGCGAATCTATGGCACGTGTGCCAGAGGTGTCACACAGAGCCAGCTGCTCTTCTGGTTTTTGGTGTGCCAGCTGATCTTCATGGTGAAAATGCCCTGAAAATGCCCCAAAAGGAGCCTGAGAACGGCCCGAAAATGGCCTGAAAACAGCCCAGAAAACAGCCCGGAAAATGGCCTGAAATGGCCTGAAAACGGCCTGAAAAATGCCAAATAATAGGCATGTGTGTGCTGGCCAGCTGGTCTTCAGGTTTCTGGTGCTCTGGTGCGCACACATGCCCACACATGCACGCATGTTGTGGTTTGGGCACTCGGTGCTGAAAAGGTTCAACATCACTGGGCTAGGTACATCTCTTATCAAACAATAAAGCATGATAACAGAATAAGCACTCATGCCCTCGTCACTTCCCGCCTGGACTACTGCAATGCTCTCTACATGGGGCTCCCCTTGAGGAGCACCCGGAGGCTCCAACTGGTCCAGAATGCAGCCGCGTGGGTACTTATGGGGGCGACATGGCGCTCCCATGTAACACCTCTCCTGCGCGAGCTGCATTGGCTCCCAGTGGTCTTCCGGGTGCGCTTCAAGGTACTGGTTCTCATCTTCAAAGCGCTCCATGGCTTAGGGCCCGGTTATTTACAAGACCACCTTCTGCCACCGATAACCTCCCACCGGCCAATCCGCTCCCACAGAGAGGGTCTCCTCAGGGTGCCGTCGGTCAGGCAATGTCGACTGGTGACCGTCCCCGGGGAAGAGCCCTCTGGAATGAGCTACCCTCAGGGATACGACTGATCCCGGACCTCCGAACCTTTCGCCGGGCTCTTGCCATTTCTATTTCGGCAAGCCGGGCTGGCTTAAAATTTTTATTGGTGAATTTTATGGGTAAGGGGTTTTAAATTGGGGAAAGCCATTAGGGATTTAATTTTGTTTTAAATGTATTTTAATGTTTATATTGTATGTTTTTTAATCTTGGCTGTTCACCGCCCCGAGTCCTTCGGGAGAGGGGGCGGTATAAAAATTTTAAAAATAAGTAAATAAATAAATAAATAAATAAATAAATAAATAAATAAATAAATGAGTTGGAAGGGACTTGGAGGACTTCTAGTCCAAGCCCCTGCTCAGGCAGGAAACTCTGCACCATTTCAGACAAATGGTTGTCCACTTTCTTCTTAAAAACCTCCAGTGATGGAGCACCCATGACTCCTGGAGACAAGTTGTTCCACTGATTCATTGTTTTAACTGTCAGGAAATTTTTCCTTCGTTCTAGGTTTCTTCTCTCCTTGATTCGTTTCCATCCATTGCTTCTTCTGGTGCTTTGCAGAATAGTTTGCCTCCCTCTTCTTTATGCCAACCCTTTAGATGTTGGAACATTGCTATCATGTCACCCCTTCTTTTCATTAAACTAGACATACCCAATTTCAGCAACCATTCTTTATATGCTTTATCCTCCAGTCCCCTAATCATCTTTGTTGCTCTTCTCTGCACTCTTTCTAGAGTCTCCACATCTTTTTTACATCGTGGTGACCAAACCTGTATGCAGCATTCCAAGTGTGGCCTTACCAAGGCATAATAAAGAGATATTAACACTTCACGTGATCTTGATTCTATCCCTCTGTTAATGCAGCCTAGAACTGTGTTGGCCTTTTTGGCAGCTGCAGCACACGGCTGGCTCATATTTAAATGGTTGTCCACTAGGACTCTAAGATCCCTCTCACAGTTATTACTATTGAGCGAGGTATCAGCTATCCTATATCTGTTTTTTTCTTGCCTAAATGTAGAACTTTAATTTTTTTCACCGTTAAATTTCAATGTTCAATTCTTCTGTATCTTACGCCTATCTTCTGCAGTGTTGGCTATTCCTGCCAATTTGGTGTCATCTGCAAATTTGATAAGTTCCTCATCCATCCCCTTGTCCAAATTATTGATGAAGAGATTGAAGAGTACTGGGCCTAAGACAGAGCCTTGGGCTACCCCGTTGCATGCTTCCCTCCATGTAGATGCCGTTCCATTGAGTACTACATGTTGTCACCTACACATTAGAAATTACAGAATACTCTATGAATTGTAATAATGAGTATCACCACCCATGCAAATGCCACACGAATCTTAAACACATTCAGGACAGGATAAGGAATCAAAACTCAGCATATTTTACCCTCTTTTCCCTTCTTGAGTATCAAAGGAATATTTGCTAAACAAACTCCCCCGCTAAATTCTAGATCTATAATGAGAACATCTATAAGCGTTCAAAATGAAAATGGTATAAGGTATAGCATTTTCTTTTTAAAGTCTTATAGATGTTCTCATTATAAATCTAGGCAGGGGTGGGCTTCAAAATTTTTAGCATAGCCATGATGTTATTTACGGTTATTTACGGGACCGCCTGCTGCCGCAAACGGCCTCCCACTGGCCGGTACGCTCTCACAGAGAGGGACTCCTCCGGGTGCTGTCGGCCAAACAATGTCGGCTGGCAGCCCCCAGGGGGAGAGCCTTCTCTGTGGGGGCACCTACTATATGGAATGAGCTCCCCCCGGAGATACAGAGAATCCCGGATCTACGCACCTTCCGCCGCGCTCTCAAGACCTTTTTATTTCGCCAGGCTGGTCTGGCCTAACCTTTCCCATTCTTTTTTAATGTAAATTTTAATTTGTTCTTAACCTGGGGTTTTAAATTTGTCTTGGGCTAAATTGATTTAATTCGATTTTATTTCTGTTCTTAATTTTTGTATTTTATGTGTTTTATTCTGTGTCTGTTCACCGCTCTGAGTCCTTCGGGAGTAGGGCGGTATACAAATTAAAGTATTATTATTATTATTATTATGGGCGTGGCCTAGTTGACCTCCTGCACTATGGCTGGGGGGGGCATTTTTGGTCTTCCCGGGTTCTGGAGGTTTTCTTCGAGCCTCCGGGAGGGCGAAAATGGCCTCACAGGCTCTGGAGGTCCTCTGTAGGCTGGAAACCAGCCCGTTTCTGGCCTTCCCAAACTTCCGGTAGGCCCATTTTTCGCCCTCCCCGAGCCTCCGCGCATACCCTGCACTTACCTGCATCCAAAACAGGCCGCATGGGCACTCCTGGGAGGGGAGGGGCGGGGGTGGGCGGGTCCAGCCAGGAGTGGGATTTGGGGGTTCTCCAAACTGCACAGAATCTTAGTTAGAGGTTCTCCCGAACCCTTGCGAACTCCCAGCAGCCCACCCTTGGATCTAGGATTTAGTATGTGAGTTTGCTTAGCAAATATAAGATATAGAAAGTAAGGGAGATGATCTTAAAGGAAATATTCAGGAAACCTAGACAAAAAAACAGTCCAGAGTAATGAGATCATATTTCCAAGTGAGTCAGACAGATGCTTC